TGCGGGCTCCTGTCGGATGCTGCGGCGCAGCGCCCCCAGGGCGGCGCCAGACTCCGTGCGGGCCCCGAGGGCCTTCGCGTGGCCGCCGTGGCCGCCCGTCGCTGAGCGCGAGCCGCAGCCCGGCCCGAGATGCCCGAAGACAACAGCAGCAGCTGCTTGTCATCAGCCTCGCTCTCCTCACGTGACTGAGCAACTGTAGCCACCGCCTCCACGACGGCTCCTTTGCACGAGGAACACCGTGAGCCTTCTCAGGACGATCGCCAGCTTCCTTGCCAAGTGACCCCAGCAGACGCGAACGCCGACGATGACCATCTACACCGAATGCAGTAGTGCCTGTCGAGGCCCGGCAGGAGGGTGTGAAGCCGAGCCCACCAGCCCGAGAGAGCGTCGCGATCCGGCGTCTGCCTCTACCGCTCCTGCTGGTGAGCCACATCGATACGGAACCTTGGGGCCATCGGTACGAGCGATGCCAGGAGTGGCCTGAATGTGGTGATGCGTCTGCAGGGTCAGCTCGGCAGCGGAGACCCCGGACGCGTACAGTGGAGGTCTATGCCATGAAATACCTTGCTGGACTCCAGGGTGCCCTGGGTTTCTGGGGTTTCGCTGGTTTTGCGATGGAAAGCGTGGCGTTCCCACACCACAAATCAGTGGACGTCCTGGGGTCTCAGTTTTTTTTTGGAAAGGACCGAGCACAACGCTGCTTAGCTTGCTTTTTGCCCTTGTTGTGGTGTTCGCTTCGTTCTCCGTTTCCGTTTGCACCGGTTTCGTTTTTAACGGTCGTTGCATGCAACGGTCGGGTTCGTCTTGTTTTTCGTTCTGAGCGCCAACGCGTTTTAAACATCGTTGTGCTCGGCCCGCGGATTCTCGTGGAAGGTTTCTTGTGGTGTGGCCGCCGCTGTGCATGGAAGGCAGGGCCTGGCCCGCCGTACAGTTGGGGCGCTGAAGAAGGAACCCTTTGCGTTGGGGAGGGGCTCGGTGTGCCTTGATTGTTTCACAGTTTGCCTCAGGCTTTCCTGAGGTTTCCGAAGGTACATCGAAGTTGAGCTTGTGGGAAAAGAGGCCTCGTTCCTTATTTTGGGTTCCTTGGGTCAACGCCCCGACCGTAGGCCGAGTGAGCCGAGGAGCTTGCAGGACGGGGAAGGCGAGGCAGAGGGTGGACGCCCGCTCCCAGGCGGAAAGCCAGCACGCTGCCTGCACGCCTGCCGCGTCTCATCAAGAGGATACAACTCAACCTCGGGAGGAGGAGGAGGAGGAGGAGGAGGAGGAGGAGGAGGAGGAGGAGGAGGGAGAGGAGAGAATGGGAGGAGGAGGATGAGGAGGGGGAGGGGGAGGAGAGGGGGAGGACGGAGGGGGGGGGGAGAGGGGGAAGTAGGATGCGGAGGAGGATGCGGAGGAGGGAGAGGAGGTGAGGAGGGGGAGGAGGAGGCGGAGGAGTGAGGAGAGTAGGAGAGGAGGAGGAGGAGGGGGAGAGAGGAGGAGGAGGGGAGGAGGAGATGGAGGAGGAGGAGAGGAGAGGAGGAGGAGGAGGAGTGGGGGAGGAGGAGGAGAAGGAGGAGAAGGAGGAGGAAGAGAGGAGAGGAGGAGGAGGAGGAGGAGGAGGAGGAGGAGGAGGGAAGGAGAGGAGGCGGAGGATGAGGAGAGGAGGAGGAGGGGGACGAGAGGAGGGAGAAGAGGAGGAGGAGACGGAGGAGGAGGAGGAGGAGGAGGAGGAGGAGGAGGAGGAGGAGGAGGAGGAGGAGGAGGAGCAGGGTGGGTGAGCCATCGGGGCCAGAGAATCCGCCGCACTTAGAAATCGGGGGATAATGCTTGTAAGCTCAGTATTTCCACCGTCGGGCACGGGCCTACTTGGGGAGTCACCAGACTTAGCAGGGAGCCCTCCTACTGCAGAAACAGCAGGTTTATACTCACACTCGTCGGCCCACGGGTCCTCTTCCGAACAGAGGCTTACCTCGGGATCCTCATGAACGAGGTCCGCGGGCTACTCAGAAATGACGTCGCTCCGAGTTTCGTCGGGGTCGGGGTCATCCGTGGGGTTAAGGAGGTTACCGCAATATCATGCCGAACTATTTCTCCTCGCAGAATTGCTCAAGCGACAGCGCTCCTCGCTGTCAGCTTTCCCTCGGCTGCTCTTGGAGCCTGGCGTGGGGACAACACGAGGGCGCATTGCGAGCGGCAACTTGCGAGGCATATCTAAGCACCGAGCTTGCAACTGTCTGCCCGATCGACGCAAACGAACGATGAGCCCGATGTGAGGTTCCCTCGGGACATCAAGCAAAGGCGAGACAGACTCGATGTATGCCAACGCGGTCGCAGAAACAATTACTTGATCGATGTGCGTGCCTTCCCTGGAGCCGAGGTTGCGGGTCACCTCAGCATCTGACTTGACATGCTGAGACATGCCGTGCAACTGCTTCAGAAATTTCGATCGCCCCATGGCGTTGGCAGCAATGTTGAAATTTCCGATCACGATCCAAGGTATGCCAATGGTATTGAGCAGCACCCCGAGCTTCTGGAACCTGGCTAGGTTGGGCCCGCAGAAGCCTATGGACGGGTGCCCGTGTAGATGACCAGGGCGATGCTGTACACTCTCATGTGCAGGATGACGGCTTTGAAGCAGTCGATGGGTCGATGACCTGCAGGGCGGAGCGGCTTGGAGGCGGACTCGGTGAGAAGGCTGTGGACCTGGAGATGCCCTCTGGCGAGGACCCACTCGCCGCCCTCGTTGGACCGCCCCTGCTGCGCCTTCGGCACTCTCTTCCCGCTGCCACGGGCTGGCTTCGCAAACAACCCGAGGCCTCCCCTGCGGCCTGCGACGCACCAGGCTTCGGCCTGTGGGGCTTGGCTTGTCTATGGCATCCTGAGCACACTCGGTCACGAGCAAGCAAGATCTCATTGCTCGGAGGCTGACAAACCTCCTACCCTGACACGTCGATTCAGGAATTGGCCGTTGTCGGTTCGCGAGAGGGCGTCGCGGCCGTCGTTTTTGCGGGCTCCGGTCCGTCGGTTTCGGTTCCAGGCCGTCTTCTCTCATGAGGGGAGGTCTGCTAAGGGGAGGTGTGTCCACCGCCGAAGTGCACTCACACCTCGTGGCAAGCACAGCGTGACCATGGCCGAGGAAAGCTGTGGACACGGAAACCGTCCGTTTTGGTCGTCGCCCGTGGCTCGCCAGCTGGAGGGCCTGGGCGCGACGTGCCTCAAAGGCCCCACGTGCGGGCACAGAGGGCGGGCGCTCTGCAAAAAGCTGCTCGAGCCCGAGTTGGTCGAGTAAGCAGGAGGAGGAGGGGGAGGAGGAGGAGGAGGAGGAGGAGGAGGAGGAGGAGGAGGAGGAGGAGGAGGAGGAGAGGAGGGGAGGAGGAGAGAGGAGGAGTGAGGGGGAGGAGGAGGAGAGGGAAGGAGGAGGAGAAGGATGGAGGAGAAGTGGACATGAGGAGGACAAGGGGCATGAGGAGAGGAGGAGGAGGAGGAGGAGGAGGAGGAGGAGATGAGGAGGAGGTGGAGGAGGAGGCTCCGGCAAGGCGTGCGCGTTGCAATCGTCCATGCTGCCCTGGTTCCTGACCCCGGGGGGGCCCCTGGATGCTTGAGCTTGCCCGATCCCCGCTCCCCGCTGCTCGCCATCCTGGGGGGCAGGAGGTGCGGAGCAGGCGCCGCAGGCCGCCGGTGTGCAGCGCCCCCCGGGGGCGTCGCGCCCGGGCCGCCCGGACAGGGCCGCCCGAGGTCGGAGGATCGCGCCGCCTTTCCGGTTCCTCGGCGATGCGCCGCGATCCGGACGTCCTCGATGCGTCGCCGATCGGGGGCGGAAAAGAGGACGTCTCAATAAAATCGAGACGCCGTGAGAAATCGCGCCTGGAACCCCAGACCCTGTATATTTCCACGCCATTTTTCGAGCCGGGTCCGAAATTCAGCGAAAATGCCCGGCTCGAAGCAATCGAGTCGCCAGGATCTCAGGGATCGGGTGCGGAAAAGAGGGGGGTGATGAATGACTAGGGGGGGGTGGATATCATGGCGTGGGCCCTGATAATTCCCCAGATTTCATGGCGCCACTCCTCATTTCATTACGTCCCTGGCCCCCCCGCTGGGCCGCGCACATGCCGCCGGTCATGATTTGCACCCCCCCCTCTTGGACACCCCCCTCTTGGCCGCTCCCGAGATCCGGACGTCGCCGATGCGTCGCCGATGCGTCACGATTCCCGACCCCATCTGCCCAGACCCGCGATGTCGCGGTCTCTTCTTCGTCGCGCGGATGGCTGGAGATCTCGACCCCTTCCCAGGGGCTGTTTTTTTCGTCTCGAGCTGCTTATCTGACGGTCCAAGGACCCAGAAAGGGCCTCGATCCGCCCTTCTAAAACAAAACACGTACTGTGTTTGGAACGTCCGGGTCGAACACGTTGCGGGTTGACTCAACGTGTTGGCCCTCGTGTTGTCCAACATATCGCGCCAGACGTACGCTCTAATCTATGTGCCGATCTCCGTGACAACATGCTCCGGGTTGCGTGTTGCGTATCGGGGCAGCAAAGCATCGCATAGTTGGCATCCTCCCATCGGGGGCCCCACCAGAAAGACCAGCTTGGGTCCCAAAGGACTTCGGCGCTCCTCAGGTCCTTCCATGGGTGCTCCCATGGCGCTCCTCTTGCACCCAGGCGCGTTTGGGGACGAAGACGGGGTCTGTTCCTTACTCAGTGCCCC